GGTGGCTACTTAAAGGATCATGGGACTTAGTAAGTAGGGTTATAAATTAGGGTAACTATACTTACAACCCCAATTAGGGGACTTATAACCTTACTTACTAAGTCCCATGATCCTCCAAGTAAGGATGTACTTCGTTCTGGTTGAGCCTTTTTGGCGACCTGTCGGAATCATAACAACCCCTAACCCCCCAAATACCTACTATATAGGGTACTAGAGCCCCTAAGGCCCTATATAGTAGGTACCTGGGGGGTTAGGGAACGGTACCAAGAATACTGATTCCCCTAAACCCTAAACCCCTAAACCCTAAACCCTAAACCCTAAACCCTAAACCCTAAACCCTAAACCCAAGAAGGTTTGGGGCCCGAAGTTCGGGGCTCCCTTCGGCTCTTTCGGAGTACGGTGCTTCCGGGTGGCCGACTCCCTATAGTCTCCATTGTAGTCCCTTTTTTGGTTTAACCAGTTATATATTAAGGATGTTATAAGGTATCCCCCAAAAAGGAACTTCCATGGAGACTATAGGTACCGTTTCTCTTTGTCCAAACCTCGCCAAGCCGCTTGGGAAGCCTCAAAGTAGGCTGTGAGCGGCACATTCGAGGAGTCCAGGCCTCCGAGCAGTATACACTGTGTCACTATGTTGTATTATGTTGTACTATGTCATGTTATATTTTATATATATATATATATATTATACATATAAATGTAACTTTATATTATAAAGTTACATATATATTATTATATGTACCTATTTATATATCTCTTCTTCCTCCAGGAGTCCCAAGCTGCCGGGGGCTTACGGAAGCTTGTGGCTTCATGCGTCTTGTCGCACGACAGCACATGCTTTCAACGCGCCTCGTAGGGGTTTAGGGTTTTGGGTTTAGGGGTTTAGGGTTTAGGGTTTAGGGTTTAGGGTTTAGGGGTTTAGGGTCAGCCTGACTTTCAAAGGCTTGAAAACCGTACTTCACGCCTGGAAGCCTCACTCTGCTACTGGGGCCTTGATAAGTAGAATTGGGGTTTGGGGTAGATGGCTACTATGCAGTAGCCCTCGTCGCGAAAAACTGATGCATCCGGGAGGCGCCAAACATCTAGCTTTCGGCGGCTAAGCTCCTTTCAGGACGCACGAGCGCGAACATGCACTTAGATCACAGCTTCATACAATAGGAGCAGCTGAAGACACTATCTGTTGGACTTACTAGAACTCTTGCTATAAGACCCTAAACAAACTCCCAAATTCGAAAAGCCCCCGCCTTTGCCCAGTACAACCATGGGCCGAAGAACAGATTTGGGGGTTTCCCAAAATAGGGGACCCTAATATAGTACCCTAAATAGTAGGACCCTTATTATAAGGACCCCCAATATAAGGTACCCCCTATTTTCGGAAACTCCCATTTAGTCTCTTGTTCAACAGCGGTTCGATCCTCCCCCCAGCTCGGACCTAATGTACAAGATGCAGGGACTAGGCTTTTGGTTGCAGGGTAATAACTAGTAGTAGGATGATGGTGACGACGATGATGATGATGATGATGACCAGCACAATAGATGTAAACAGCTGCAGTTATGTGCGCTTGTTGCTGGTAGCAGTTCCAGTGTTCTTCTGTTTTGCTACCTCATTGGTTATTGTTGGTTTTACTCATTTACGGAAAGAATAGCGATTCTCGTTATTGGTTGTATGCACCTTCTTTCTTCGTCTTACCATGATTGCAGCATGCACGCTTGCCAACACTGGTATCATCCTGCATGCTGTCATGATGATTACACCCTCACTTAGCAACATATAGGCACCATGATGGTTAGTATGGCATTTGGAGATGTTGCGATTGCTGTTACTGCTACACTGTATTGCTGTTATTATTGCGGCTGCGACTATGTTAATGACTTTGACTCTTAAATGGTAGTATGAGAACTATTCGTGTACCAGACCATGAATGCTCGTACTAGCATTACGATTATGACGATGAGTATTTTTCCCATGGGCAAAGCTGAGCCCCCGACGATCGCTGTGCACGCGAACCGAAACACCCAAGAATATGATCAAGTGTATGGCTACGGTTATGACTACTAATTAGTCAGACCCTTATGCTAGCCAGCGATCCTGCCAGAAGCCGATGTCTGGGGCCGGGATCAAAGCCTCGAAGTCCTGGGAAGACGGCTTTAGGACGGTTTGGGTACAGGGGAGGTGGGTTCAGGGTCGAGGGGAGCTTTTATCGCTGCTCACGGCTGGGGCAGAGCTGACTGAGGGTAGATGAGCGGAAGGTCCGAGATTTGAAGCTTGCATGACGTTGCTTGCTTGACTTTCTTTCATCGGCGGTGGCGAAGCGTGAGACCAGTCAGATAAGGACTGGGGAAGGAAGGATCTCAGATCGCAACATAAAGCTCCGCCCTGAAGTCAAGGGGCTCGTAGCCTTTAGGGTTTAGGGTTTAGGGTTTAGATGCTAAAAACCATGACCTCTTGTCGACAACCTCAGCATCAGCGGCAACAGCAACGGCACCACCCCGGTCACCACGCTGCAACTGTCACAACGTACTAGTAAACCTATTATACGGCGACGATGAGCAATTCACATCACCACCACCACCACCGCCACCATCACCACCACCATCACCATCATCATCGAGCGACATCACCATCATCATCATCATCATCACCATCACCATCACCATCACCAACAGCATCATCATCATCATCATCAACAGCATCAGCATCATCATCATCTTCTTCTTCATCATCATCATCATCAGCATCAGCATCAGCATCATCATCATCATCAGCATCATCATGATCGTCAGCAGCAGCATCAGCATCATCAGCATCATCAGCATCATCATCAGCATGAGCATCATCATCATCAGCAGCATCATCAGCATCAGCAGCATCAGCATCATCAGCATCAGCATCAGCACGAGTCGAACAACAGATCACCATCACAACATGGAGCAGCAAACCGACAGAGTACTGCAGTCAAGTCTCCTTGGGTGGTCCCTGGCCGGCGGGGCGCGCCATGGCTGCGAGCACTCGGGCCAAGGTCTCTGGGAGAAGTCTATGGCAGGATGTACAGTAGGCTTTTCGATTTAGGCTTTGTGGCTTTGCGCCTTTGGGTGAAGGTATCTGGCCTTTGGTTTTCATTACAGCCTGGTTTCAGGCTTCATGGGTCGGAGGGGGGGGTAAGAGATACTGTCACTTCTTTGGTAAACAGAGCAGCGGCTCCAGCATGAAATAGAATCTGCCCCATGCCACGTGCAGTCGAGGACGCATCCTCCTGATAGGTGCAGCGGCGTCAAAGACTGAGTAGGATCCTTTGCTAAGGGATGATTGTAACAATGGTTGCTGCGTGATTCGAGAGTTTCGAGTATCAGATGCTAGTAAAAAGCATCGGTGTTCTCTTTATCCCTTTATCCAGGCCCTCCTTCCTAACACATACTTGTACTAGACCCAACCACCTAATCACACCTGGACCCTACAAACTGAGCCCTCAAAAGAGATGCTGCGCCCTCAAGACTTGCCGGACTTTGCACTGGGATGAGTTTTTTCGCCGCGCCATCACCCTGAGAGCCTCTGGAACAGCCAGCAACCTTCCACCAAACGTGGTGGTTTCACGTTTTTTGGGGCTTTGGCTTTAGGCTTGTAGTTTAGATGCCTTCTTTTAAGGTTTAGGGCTCAGGGGTTGGATTTTGGAGGGCGTTTAGAGTTTCTGTATGAAGCCTGTAGGAACTTTTGGGTTCAACCGTGTCGGACCGCAGGTGCAGGCGGCGAAGGAGTCTCTTAGAAGTCTAGATGCGGAGTTTTCTCACAAATTTAGGCTTTAGGGTTTGGGGCTGCGCAATCCGAACTCCTCCAACGAAGCTTTCACCGTGATTTTTTAATTTGGAGACACCCCCGGCCGTGCAGCAATCGAGTTTGAATGCTCGACTGGGGCGTTTTCACTCAAGGCATCCACGAAAGACTCCAAAGGGGCGTTTTCACTCAAGGCATCCACGAAAGACTCCAAATACTGCAGTAGTAGACAAGCATGGCTCTATCAATTCCACGCTATAGCTTATAAGTCTCACAGCCAGGTTCCGGACTTTATTCAAGATACGCCGAAAAGCCGAAGAAGACCCAGC